CAGTTTCCCCCTCTTTCCCTCTTAACTGCTTAGGGTTTGTTACTCAGGATTTCAAAGTAGAGCAAATTAATTAAACCCTTGAATGTCACACTTTCTGGTTGCTCAACAAATCTTTGTTCCACCAACTCCAGCTACTGGAATGGATCAGAGGGATGGGAAATCTTTATACAAAAGTAATATGGTTGAGTTTTATTTAATGGGCACTGACTTCACTTTTGTCTCTTTTCTCCTAGGAGGAGGATTCATACAAGAAGCAGCTCAAAAGCAGAGATTGAACATGAGGAGCAATTATAGCCCGCAAGCCTTGTCCCCTTTGGGTACTGTAGGGGAAGATAAGGAGACAGTGCAACTGGGCTCCCAAACTATGAACATATTAATTATGGAATATCATAGACCTTATTAACCCTGCCTTTATTTCAGTTATTAGCATTTTTGGACTTATGGAGGATGTCATCTGGCTTCTCAGCTTTGGCATGAAAAGGAATTGTTTCACCATCTTCATTCTGAATTTGGCTGTGGCTGAGCTTGGCGTCCTTATATACTTTATTTTTCTCCAGTAACGAAGCTGGTATTTTTCTTTGTGGATGTACTTATCTCTTCTGATTTGTTGCAAGGGTTCCTTTCTTCTTACTTTTTCCTCATGTACATCACTGGTCTATTTCTGTTGACAGCCATTAGCACTGAAAGGTGTGTTTCTGTCCTCTTCCCAATTTGGTATTGATTCCACCAGCCTCCATGCTTGTCCACCATTTTGGTGCCATAATATGGAGCCTTTCTTTCCTGCTCAGTGTCATTCCCTCTACTGTTGATATTGCATTTGCTGAAAACCTTTCCGTTTTTTACTTGTTTTGGATACTGCCATAATTTGCCTCCCACTAGCGACCATCTCCTCTCTGACCCTGTTGATAAAACTTTGCTCTGGATCACAACAGAGGAAGCAGGGAAAGGTTTTAAGAGTCTTCTTTCTTGAGCTCTTCTTCCTCATCTTTGCTTTCCCATTTACTTTCTTTCTTTTATTTGAAATAGTGACATCTAAATTCGCGTATACAGCCAGGGGCGCACAAAGTGGGGGGGGGGGCGGGGGGGGCGGTCTGCCCTGGGTGCCACTCGGAGTGTGTGTGTGACAAGATGGCCCTTGCCTCTCCCCAGCTGTAGAGCGGCCGAGGGCACACGCAGTCTGTATGGGTACCGCTTGTGTGGCGTCTGTACGGGCTGCCATTCTTGCACACCATCCATATGGGCGTCCGTACCGGCTGCCACTCGCAGAGACGAGCTAGAATTCTGGGTCTGAACCCAGAAATGATGCTTTCAAAAGAATGAATCAGAAAGCTTCATTTTTCTACCTCTTGTTATATTGCTGTAGTTTCCTTTTGGCATTTCACCTGCTGTAGGTCTACCATTGATTCTATATGCCTAGAGAAACACAGAGATGGTCCTCCCCCATTTCCTTTTTTCAACTACTGATGAGAACTGCTTTTAGAATCATAGAATCATAGAGTTGGAAGAGACCACAAGGGCCATCGAGGTCCAACCCCTGCCAAGCAGGAAACACCATCAGAGCACTCCTGACATATGGTTGTCAAGCCTCTGCTTAAAGACCTCCAAAGAAGGAGACTCCACCACACTCCTTGGCAGCAAATTCCACTGTCGAACAGCTCCTACTGTCAGGAAGTTCTTCCTAATGTTTAGGAAGTGCTTCCTAATGTTTAGGTTTTATTTCTTGGTGTTTGTTTTATCTGTTCTTGCTATTTTATTATTTCAAATGAATCTACTATGAGGTTTTCTGTATCATTTCTGATATAGTAAAGAGCCACCTGGGTAGAATGACACACACACACACACACAACCAGGTTGCTTCTTCAGCAGGCTGTGAGGTGGGTAAGATTTGCTTAATTGTGTAGAAAACAGATTCTTTGCAAAGGGGAATGAACTACATGAAAGCCTCATATTTCACTCCAAATTCTTTGGCAGAAAGAATATGGTTTTTGTCAGGGGGGAAATGGAACACACCTTTTAGAGCATGTATATTGAAAGGGATTTTGAACCATTTTATACATGCAATTAAATTATTATAATAATTTATTAATTTACATACATCTTAATTTCCAGTGACTTACAAAACATAAAAACATAAAAGCCTGTAGCAACATCTAAATAGTTTACAGAAACCCATAGTGTGTGTGTGTGTGTCCCCCTAGGAGATTCCAGTCCTGTGCTCACCTCTCAGTTAAATGCATAGGACTGTGTTAATAACCACATCTCATTCATATCTCATCACTGGTGTTCACAAACTTAGATTTTTGTTCAGCGGTACATTTTCAAGCCTGTAAAAGAATATAAAGGAAGACCACAAACTACTGAGTGATTGGTTGTAATATTAAGTCTGTGGTTTGTTTCCCTGTTCAATTCAGGGAGAAGCTTGTTGCAACTTACTCTCAAGTAAACAGCCAGATGATTTCAAACAGCATGTACTGATCGCACAGTTAAAAGTATAGTGATTACTGTCATTAAGGAGTGATTCTGTAAGCAAGTATTGCTGGCTGGGGTCCCTCAGGCAGGTGTTAACAATTAGTCCCCCAGGTGGGAGCAGGTGATGGGGCTGTCAGCATTCCTCAGCCCTATAAGCCTTCGAGTTAACCTGCCGAAAAGGGGGAGAAAACACGTTGTAGATTAGACTGCAATTTGATGTCTGTAGCTGGTGCCAAAGGAGATGTCAATAAAGCCTGATAACCCATTTGGTGCCTAAGTGTGAGTTATTAGAAGTTTGGACGGAGGACTCGGGAAAGCGACTCCCTCCTTGACAATTACCACAGTGTCATACAGTGAGCTTCATGGCAGAGTGGTGATTTGAATTTGATGCCTGCCTACCCTCACTTTCAGGCACTGGGCAAGATGAAGATTGGCATGTACTGGAACAGTGACGCAGGAGTGGTGTCTCAGTGAAGATCATTCACTCCAGGGGAGATATACTAGTGATGGGAGACTTCAACTACCCAGATATCTGTCAGAACTCAAACTCTGCCCATAATGTAAGGTCCAACAAATCCCTCCATTGCCTCACTGACAATATGAATGCCCAGAAGGTGTAAGAAGCAACAAAGGGGATCTGGTCCTCAACAACAGAGAGGAACTGAGTGATGAAGTGGAAGCACTGAGAAGCTTAGAAGTAAGACGACAGGAGGTTGGATGCAGGTGAGCTGTGCAGAAGCAAGCTGGCAAGCATGCTCCAAACAAGCTGCCAGCTAGCTCTGTAGAGGCTCCTTTTATTAGCAGAAGTCAACAATTGGAAACAGTAGTGAAACCACCCTGAACATGATGTATTTCCATCTAAGTACATTTCCAGCAAGGGACACGGGTAGCACTATGGGTTAAACCACAGAGCCTAAGACTTGCCGATCAGAAGGTCAGCGGTTCGAATACCCGCGACGGGGTGAACGCCTGTTGCTCGGTCCCTGCTCCTGCCAACCTAGCAGTTGAAAAGCACGTCAAAGTGCAAGTAGATAAATAGGTACTGCTCCGGCAGGAAGGTAAACGGCGTTTCTGTGTGCTGCTCTGGTTCACCAGAAGCGACTTAGTCATGCTGGCCACATGACCCGGAAGCTGTTCGCCGGCTTCCTTGGCCAATAAAGCGAGATGAGCGCTGAAACCCCACAGTAGGTCACAACTGGACCTAATGGTCAGGGGTCCCTTTACCTTTACCTTTATGTTCCCTGATACTTGAATATGTCTGCGTCCCCGGTTATGCTCCAGCCAAGCGTTATGTCTAGTAAACAAATCTGTGATTTGTGAGAGGACAAACGGTCAGGGGGAAAACCCTGTTTTCTAGCCAAGAAAGCAAAAGGTCAGGGAAAGCAGGCGCAACGCTCCTTCACATACTGTTTTTGTCTGGTGTGAGGTTTGCCTTCGCAAAGTGGAGCATTACCTCCACAATAACCTGTTTGGTTTAATGATACAAAAGCATGGGAAAGCTGAGTGTAGTTGGCATGCACTCAGAAAGGAAGTTGGAAAGTATCATTACAGATAAGCTGAGGTGTAAGAAGGGAATGTATACGAAATGGAAGAAAAAGAAAATCAGAAAGGAAGAGTATAATGTACACGTGTAGCCAACAGCTGCAGGGAGAAGGTCAGGTAGGTCAAAGCTCAGACTGAGCTCAGGCTTTCAAGAGATATTTAAAATAATGTAACGTGTTTCTTTGGCTAATGCTAAACTGCACATATTTTCATACCAAAGTGAAAATCACAAACCCTGCAAGCTTTTCCATTTTGGGGCAGCTGAGGTTCCGTCAGCTGCCATCATCTATGAGATCTGACACCTTTCAATCAATCATCCCATAGACTGAGCTGCTATGTCTGTGAGATTCTGTATAGACCATACACTGAAATTACATTATCCGCCCCCGCAAGAACCTCAAGAATTATGGGGCGTTTTCTATGAGTTGCAGATCTCAGCATCCTAACAATCTACAGTCCCCACAATTATGAGGCTTTCTAAATTTGACATAAGTTTTTGTGTGACCCTGTTAACTAGTTTGAGCATGGTAAAATAAGGGCAAGGCGTAACTCTCAGTAATAAATAAAGATATTTCTCCCAATTACATGACAGAGCTATTATTATTACTATTTGTTATTTATTAAATTTGCATACTGCCCTTCATCCAAAGACCTAAGGGTGGTTCACAAAATAAAAATACATAATAGAGCCAAAGCAAAACAAACCAATCACAAACCAATCCCCTGGTTCTTCCTTCTCTGTGACTTTCTGACCCACATTTCTCAGTAATGTCTTTCTAGGACCTTCGAGTCATAAATTTCCTCCTAAACTAGCTATCTTGATAACCAACGAGCAAAATTCTTCCTGCCATATGATGTTTGCAACTGAGCACAAATTAAGAGGAAGGGGTGGAGCTCTAAACAGTTTCCAGGGAACTTTGATGACATGTCAGTTCTTTTCTTTTCTTTGTAGTTGCATTTATTTCTGCACATCTTCCAGCACAGAATATTATACCTCTTGCTGCTGCCTCCCAAGTATCTGTCTAAAGATTGCTGATCAGCAGTTTCTCCTAGGTATGTGAATTTCTCAAGTTGATGTAGCTCGTTCGCAAAAGCAGGAGGGCAACCATATCTGAGTGGCGGGGGGGGGGGTATGTGTTTTTCAGCCAGCTTGAATCCCCAGAGTCTTCTGTTAGAAGTATAACAGGTCAAAGGCTGGGGTGATCCTTTTAGGCTGTGTTTATGGAAGACAATCTTACTCGGCTACAAGTGATCACCAAAGAAGATTCTTTTAGACCTGGTCTACCAGGGCAAAGAGCTGGAGCATATGGGATCCTAGGCTGAGAGGGCACCACTGCTACTTTTAACCTTTACTAAATGAGAAATGCCTCCTGATTCTTTAGTATATGCTGATATAATTTTATTCTTGTAATACATGTGTACAGCTGTGTGCATGTATCTTTCAATAATGGTAAAACTTGCTTAGATGAAAACCACATATCACTTGCAAGTGAATAAGCTCCAAGGACTGGTGACAGGGAAGTTTTATTCTGTATCAAAATCTGATGCCTAATTAAAGTCTCCTAAAATTATATACTTATTTCATAAAATATATGTACTGCTTGATCGTAAAAAAAACAAAACGAAACCTCAAATTATTTTGTAATAAATGAAATTAAAAAGTTCTTTAAGTTTCCTAAAATGAAATTCCATTGAAACCCATTGAAATTAACGGATCTAAATTAATAATGGCCATTGATTTTAGTAGGCTTAGTCTGGGTGAACATTAGCTGAATACAACCCAAACACTTGAATCGCCCTAAATATGCCTAGATTGAAGACTTTGGAAGGACTTCTTGTTGCCCTAACGAGGAGAAAAAAGGGGTGTGATGATATATCAAGAAAAAGAGAATAGGGGTGCAAAGAGAGAGGGAGAAAGAGAGAGACGACTACTTAGGATTGGCTGTGGAAGTTTCATAAGAAGCATTATGAATATTTTGATGCATGAGATTCCAGGCACCATAAATGGAAGTCATTCTCCTTGCTCTCTTTCTCTATGGAAGCACTATTCTGAAGAGTGATCTCTTTGATTTCATTTAGACCCACAAGATTGTTTCAGAACTTCAGCTGTTATGATGGTTCTAGAGACTTATCTGCTTATCCAGATTTAAACAATAGTTTTGTCATTGGATATCAAAATAATAGCAAAAAATGAGCTAATTTCCCCCCAAAGTTAACAAAATATATAACCACCACATAAAAATGTAATAAATAAAGTTGAGAGGACAAATTTTCTCCCTGCTAAATGTGACAGAGTAGATTTCTCCCTAGGTAAAGGTAAAGGGACCCCTGACCATTAGGTCCAGTTGTGGCCGACTCTGGGGTTGCGGCACTCATCTCGCTTTATTGACCGAGGGAGCAGGCGTACAGCTTCAGGGTCATGTGGCCAGCATGACTAAGCCGCTTCTGGTGAACCAGAGCAGCGCACGGAAACGCCGTTTACCTTCCCGCTGGAGCAGTACCTATTTATCTACTTGCACTTTGATGTGCAGTATTTATCTACTTGCACTTTGGCAGGAGCAGGGACCGAGCAACAGGAGCTCACTCCATCACGGGGATTCGAACCGCCGACCTTCTGATCGGCAAGTCCTAGGCTCTGTAGTTTAACCCACAGCGCCAACCGCATCCCTAGATTTGTCCCTAGACAGCAACAGCTTGGCTAGAGAGTTAACTACTCTGAGGCCATGAGCCAAGGGAGCTCACCCACATATCCAAGGATTAAGCTATAGATTACACTGTTTCAGATTTATAGGAGCCTGGAATGCTTTGAAGCTTTCGTAATTCTAGTCCTTTGCAGACCCTTCAAGTAGACTTTAATAAGGCTGTTGTCATTTTAATCCCAATCCTTTGTGTCTTGCGTGGGTGCAATCACAATCTGAGAGGGTGGTCTTGGGCTCAGCTTCTCCGTCTGGCTATTCCAGAGGCATCTAGCTGGCCACTGTGAGAACACGAAGCTGCACTAGATGGGCCACTTGCGTCATCCATCTGGGCTTTTCTGGTGTCCCTCTCTGCATCCAGTGTGGTGTCCAACTCCTTCTCCAAACTTCAGAATTGGGTCCAGGATGGGGCAGTTCATCTTCAGGTTGAACCAGCATGGTCTGCCCTGATTCAGGAACCCCTGGATCAATGTCATGGGGCGGATGGTTTTGCACAGCTCTAGTGAACATCTGCCAATCTCTTCTACTTTTTAATAAGTCATAACTTTGATTTACAACACTTGAAATCATTCTCATAGTTTATAGTAGTTATTTTATTTAGGTATCCCACCATGGAAGGAAATTCTACACATCATTTTAACATCACAAGGGAACTGGATGTGACAGACATCTGGTAAGTATATACAATAATAATAAAAATAATAAGGCAGAGAATGTGGCCTCTGTCAGATTACTAAAAAGAGGATGTGACCTTCAGAATTCCACCCTCCAGATTTATTTTATAATTTTTTGTTTATTTATCACATTTATCTCACACCTTTTTCTCTAAAGAGAACGGGCAACACAAGAGCAGGGCCTTCTCTGCAGTGGCTCCCCATCTGTGCAATGCTCCCCCCAGGGAAGTTTGCCTGGCACCTTCATTATACACCTTTAGGCGCCAGTCAAAAATGTTCCTTTTTAACCAGGCCTTTGGTTGATCCGATTTACATCCTATGCCCTTTTAAAATGTGTTTTTTTTGGGGGGGGGCTATTGGGTTGTTGTTTTTATTTTTATTATGTATTTTGTGGTTTTATATCTTGATTTTATTCTGTGAACCGCCCTGAGACCTCTGGATATAGGGTGGTATATAAATTAAATAAATTATTATTATTATTATTATTATTATTATTATGAGCTCATGGTGCCATGCATGGTTCTCCCAGTCGTCCTTTAATCTTAGGGTGGATTAACGCTCAAATTCTTTGCACATGGAACTCTCGGAATTGTAGCACTGTGGTGGGAATAGGGATCTCCCAAGCACTCTCAGTGCCTTTAACAAACTACAACTCCCAGGATTCTTTGGGTGGCCATCAATGTTTATCATAATAATGTAAAGGCATGGTGTGGCCACCATTGACTTGGGAGTTTTTGAAAGAAATGTTGGGAATCAGGTAAGAGACTCACTCAGTGGAAGTTGCTCCCAGTCCCAGTCTCACCCAAATCAATGTGACTTTGACAAATGAGGAGTCAGGGTTGTAGGTAGTGTGGCTTGTGTACCCGTTGTGTAGATCATTTGACTGACTGCAGAATAATGATTACTCTTGTTCTCTTTCTTTTTGCAGGTATTGGCATGAAAGGATTACCGAAGCTAAAATTTATGTAAATGGTATTGTCAAGCAACCAGATGGTCGAGCAATAACAGAAGCTTACAGTGGTTCTGGAGATATACCTGATTATCTTAACTCAAATGAGACTATCATATTTATAAATTTAAATTATAGCACAACTGCTGCCTCCAGCATTGTTTTTGCTGAGTTTGTAGCATCGAATGATCTGGTCTTCTCCAAATTAGCAAAGTATTTAATCAACAGCTTCATTGCCATTATTTGCATTTTGGGGCTTTTGGGTAATGGGTATGTCATCTGGCTTCTTGGCTTCAAAATTAAGAGGAATCTTTTCACCACCTATGTTCTGAACCTTTCCATTGCTGACTTTGCTGTCCTTTTATCTCTAATCAGTACTGCTGCATTTGCTTCTGCCCTTCGTGTGATGAGTGAATCTCACATTCTCAACAGTGTTTTTCTATTATTTTTTGAACTCTTTTGCTTCACATATTCTACCAGTCAGTATCTACTGGCAGCTATCAGCGTTGACAGGTGTGTAGTTGTCCTCTTCCCACTTTGGCATCGATTTGACCGGGGACCAAACTCATCTGCCATCATCTGCGCTATAATATGGATCTTCTCCTTCCTGCTTTCTGCAATCCATTTCGCTCTCCGCATGACTGGCAGATTTGGGGCATCCCTTTTACACTACCAGCTGCTTGTAAATGCTCTGCTTTGTACGCCTCTGATGTTCATCTCTTCTCTGATCTTGTTCATCAAAGTGTGCTGTAAAGCACAACAACACAAGCAAGGAAAACTCATCACGGCTATCTTGCTTGCCCTCCTTTTCTTTCTCATCTTTGCTTTCCCACTGAATGCAGTTTATGTAATCTATTGCTATTATTTCCCCCACCTTCACAGTCTCATGCTAATCGGCTTTGGGTGTTCTTCTGTAAACAGCAGCATCAACCCAATCATTTATTTTTTAGTTGGAAGGAGAGGACGGAAGAGTCCTTCCAGGGTATCCATGAGAGCTGCAATCTCAAGGGTGTTTAAGGATGTGGGAGACTGTACAGAAGACAAGAAATCCAGAACAGAGAGTAAAGTTATGATTTGACCGCCTATGAGTGGCGTCTTAGCAGGGTTCCTACTGTGTGAAATCTTAGATTTCCTGATGGATTTTTATAGGCAGGCCTCACTTCTATCCCTGGGGATGGTAAAAAAAAATAGCTTCTCAGTGTGAACCAGAATAGCCATCTTCCTTGCACTCCTCTGTACCTTTGCTTCTCCAGTGCATGAAGTTTATATAATCAATTAATATTATTCCCACTTTCCCAATCTAATGCTCATTGGTTTCAAGGGTTCCTCTATAAACAGCCATATCAACCGTCATGGAGGGATGCCAGCTCATGGGTACTTACAGGCATCTCTAGTGGGATTGTGGGAAAGTACAAAAGTTCTGGCTCTCTGTGATTAAAGAGATTAATTGCACTCTCCTCTCTTGAGGTTCCCAGAAACAGCTTTTCAGAGGCATACTCCACGAATGTGAAAACCTTCCCAAAAAGACTTCTAAAAAGAATTTACTAGTTTTGTCAAAATTAATTTGACTCCTCCCAAAATTAGGTCTAAGAGAGTCATTAACCTATTTTTCAATTCCACATCTGGAAAAACCAAGTTGAAGGAAAAGAGATTATGACTTAACATCAGAAATAACTTTCTGACACTAAGAGCTGTACAACAGTGGAACAGACTCCCTCAGGAGATTATGGACTCCCCTTCATTGGAGGCTTTTAAGCAGAGGTTGGAAGGTCATCTGTCATGCATGCTTTAGTTGAGATTCCTGCTCTACTAGATGACCTTTGGGGTACCTTCCAACTTTACAGTTCTATGAGTCTATGAACCCAGGGATATATAGAAGGTCTCCATTTCTAGGTCCAATAGCAATGTCTCTGTGGCTCGGTACACACCATACACTGAAACCACATTGAAAGCACATTATGCCCCTCCAAGTATTCTGAGAACTTAATTTACCACTCACAGAGCTACATTTTCTAGTGCCCTTAATAAACTAAAGTCCCCAGAATTATCGGGGGTGGGGGAGGATAATGTGTTTTCAATCTACTTTGTGTGATTGCCCAATTTACTGCAAGTGAGTGATAGAGATCTGGTGTGTTTCTTGTTTTTGTGGATGTGGATGTGGATGCCTGCTACTGGAATGCAGCTTCCAAAAGCTTTCCACCACAATAGATATTGAGATAGTGTGTGCCACATTTAGCGGGTATCAAGGGAGAATGAGCAGAGTTGTTTTTTGAAGCAGGAGAACTGAGGTTTTTAGAGATGGAAGGGAAAAGGTAATTTCCAGGAACATACTGAGAAACAAGGAATGAGTGAGTGAGGATGGGGGACCTTACAGTTAAGCATGAGACATTTCTGCTGGTTGGTGGCAAAGCATGGAAATCCTGTGAATAGAATTGAGGGGGTCGGGGATCCATATATGTGAATGATGGGATAAGTGAATGACAGCTGGAGTACCAAGGAATAACAGAATGAATAGACTGGCACACCAAGGAAATTCATAAAGTAGAAGATCACCATATACCCTGTAGGCCATGAGCAGAGAGACTGTAAACGGAATTGTAACTGAAAAAGAATGGAATGTTTTTGCCTTACTGTGCAAGGAAAAGGAATATGACTGACTAAATATCAAGGTCAAAGGACAGAGAAGAATCCAAAACAAAGACAGAGCCCATCCTCCTTTCCTCTAGTACCCACTGATGTTGCTGCCTTAGGACATCACCTTGAACACTCAGGAAAGAAGGGACCTCCATCCAACTTACTGGCTTTCATTGAATTCTTTTTCCTTTATGTTGCTTCTTACAATTTATGTAATATTGCATGCATATCTTTAGGTTTCTTGTGTATCTCTGACCCCATTGACCAGCCTGAGCATGGCAACATGAAAACAAAGAATAACTGTAATCAATAAATAGATTTCTCCTAGTTACATTGCAGAGTAGTTGTCTGGTTCATCCTCTGAGACTTGATGACTCATGATTCTCAGTAATGCCTTTGTCAAGAATCTCACCCTAAATTAGCTATCTTGAGTACCAATGAACAAAATCCTTCCTCTCACATAATGTTGGAAAACTGTTTAACAAGGATGAAGAGGAATGGATGCAGCCCTAAACTTCTTGCAGGTGTCTTCTTGCTGTCTCCTCCACATACTGTATGTCTAAAGATGGCTGATCAGCAGTTTCTCACAGGGATGTGAATGTCTCAAGCTGATGTAGTTCATTTGCAAAAGAAAGCGGGGGACCACAGCTGAGTGGCAGAGGGGTACATGGGTAGTTCTCCTGGAAGGATTCTGGCTCACCAGCTTGGGAAAGTTCTTTGTGACATCTTGGGAGCCACTAGAAGCCAGAGAAGGAAATGCTGCAGTAGAAATTCTAATGGTCTGCCTCGCTAAGACTCTACAGCTAATCAACAGTTGGTTTGTCTGTCAAAAATAGGTAAGGAATTAGAAACAGATCAAGATGTGTTTTTTTAAAAAAATGATATTTATTAAAATTTCAGAGAAAAAAAGAATTACACAAAAACAAAAAGTAAAAATACCAGAAAAATACAAAATACAAAATACAGAATAAAAGAATAAAAGACACTTAAAAAGAAAAAAAAAGGAAAATGGGTCAATCTTTCCATAGCTTACATTCATATCCTTGTTTCCCTGACCTCCTCCTACCTCCCTTTTTTGTATTCCAATTCAATTAGTTAAGTCAGCAATTTCTTTCCCTCTTTGTTTTCTCATGATCCTTTAACTTAATATACTATAACTTTAAATTTTCATCTGTTATCAATCCTTTTTTACATACACCTTTATAGCATTACTGCTTAAACCACCTAGCGTCATTCCAACATCATTCTAACATTCATTAATTTTGCAATATTTCTGTAAATAGTCTTTAAATTTCTTCCAGATCAAGATATGTTATGCCAAGTCAGATTTTTCTGTTCCCTTACTTCAGCACTGTCTCCTCAGAGTGACAGAGGAACTCCTGAGGATCTTCCAGGATCTCGTGGAGAGGAAATCTTCCACACACACCCCTTTATCCTTTTAACCGGAGAGGTCACAGCTTAATTAAGCCCCTCTGCCTGTGACACGTACATTGTAATCCACGAGCTATAGTCTCTTCCCATAGTCACGTGCCATTAAAGCTGCATGCATGCATACTGACTTCTTTTTTAAGAGAAAGGGAGAGAAGAAAATATGGAATTCAACTCTTCCTGGTAGAAACAAAAATCTGACAAAAGCTACACATTCTTTTCATTTTAATCATCATTATTATCTCTCTCCCTCTTTCCCTTCCCTCTCTTTCTCTCCAACCACAAAATGTCTATGACAACAGTGTCTCTCACTACAGGTAAGCAAACTGTGAAAAAGACTCTATAAATTGAAAGTGGAGACAACATGCACTTTTCTCTGTTTGTTTGTTTTGTAACATAAGGAAATATTCAAGAAAAAAAAACTAATAAAGAGAAAGACTTTAAGAAGGCTGTTGCCATTTTAATCCCAAACCTTTGTGTCTTGTCTCTTACTAAGGGCTGTGGATGCAATCACAATCTTGGAGAGTACTGTTGAGCTCAGTTTCTGCTTCTGGGCATTTCAGAGTTATCTAGGTGGCCACAGGATGTTAGATGAGATGGGCTACTAGCCTGATCTAGTAGGGCTTTTCTGATATTCCTCTCTGCATCCAGAGTGGTGATAGGTGGCTGGTGGTGCCTTGTCCAACCCCAACCCCCAATACTTCAGTACTGGGTGCAGGAATGAGTGATGGACCTCCATTAGATGCAGGGTGGGCCAGTGGGCCACCCTCATTTGTAACCCCTGGATCAATGTCATAGAGCAGATAGATTGGGCTGTGCACAGCTCTAGTGAACGTCTTTTTCAGTCTTTTCCACTTTGACAACTAAGTAACAGCATTTAAAATTATTTTGGTAATATATAGCAGTTATTTTATTTTAGATATCCCAACATGGAAGGAAATCCATTGCCTCCACATTATTGATGATGATGATGGTGATGGTGATGATAATAAAAAGGCAGAGCATGCAACTGCTATCAGGTTACTAAACAGAGAGTGTGTCCCTCAGTCCTGGATTTATTTACTTATCATTTATTTGTTTCTTTTCCAAAGAGCTCAAGGTGGTGTACATGGTTTCCCCCCTCCTCATTTGAACATCACAACAACCCTGTTTGACAGGTTTGTCTGAGAAGCAAAGGCCGGCCCAAGGTTACCCTGTGAGCTTCAGGTCAAGTGTGGATTTGTCAGTCAAGAATGTCCAGAGTGAGGAATTAACTCTAAATTGTACACTTACAATTTAGTAACATGCCCATCAGTCCTACGTCTCTTAGCTAACTCTGGGTGTACACCCGACAAAACTGTTTCTGCAACCAAGAAGCCCCACCCTCTCTTCTTATGCATCTCCCCCATCCAAGTTGTGCACAAGCAGGTGAAGATTCCATGCAACCTGTTTTTGTTCCTCCCTCTTGCCCTGGGAGACAGTGGAGCAGGAGAGGTGGGGGGAAGCAGGAGGAGATGTGGAAGGCCTTGACTCTACACCAGCCTCACCTATCTTTCACTTCTTCTGCACCTGTTTTTCTCTCTCCAAACCTGCAGCTTCTCCTGCTTCTGACAGTCGTCTCCTGGCTGTTACAAGGACCCCCAGATCATTGATCCCTTCTTCCGTGTCAGTCGCTAACCTCCGTTCTCCCAGCGCCCATTCACCAGTATCCACTGTGTAACCTCTGAGGAAGCCAGGAAAGCACCTTCTTGGTCAAAGTGACTTATTTACCTGAAACAAAAAATGGGTGCTGAGGAGCAACTATTGGTCCAGTTGATGACAAGCCAAAAACACTTTCTGAAGAAACTGAAGCACTTCCCTATTACAGCAATTCTTGGTATCCCCTTATTGCATTCTAAGAAGAGGACAGCAGTTGCCTTGAATAATACACTGATATGAAATCTGCTGATATAAGATAAGGGAAGTAACACAAGACGCAAAACCAACGTTTTCTTTTTGCAATGTGGCAAGAGCAGAAATACACATCAACAGCTTCCATAATGTGCCAGCCTAGGGAATGCATTTCTTTATTGCTCAGTTTTATTTCATTACTACATTCTTATATTTCAGAGTTTGTATATCTTTATCATACAGAGTGTGTGTTCCTGGCATTGGACAATCGGGACAGATTAGGGCTTCTGCTGGTTTACCGCCCGCCTCGCTGCCCAGCAGTCTCCCTGCTTGAGCTGACAGAGTTGGTTTCAGAGGTGGCATTGAGGATTTCCAGACTGCTGGTTCTGGGAGACTTCAACATCCATGCCAAGGCAGCTGGCTCTGGGGCAGCTCAGGACTTCATGGCCTCCATGACAATCATGGGGCTGTCCCAACATGTCAGTGGCGCAACGCAGATGGCAGGCCACTCTCTGGACTTTGTTTTCTTGACTGGGAAGAAAGAGGGTGACTTGTTTGCAAAGCATTTTGGAGATAAAATAACTTGCCTCTACCAAGACTTTGACTCTGCTGCTATAGCAAATGAATTTCATGGGGTGTCCAGAGCATAGTCTAATCCTATTGTGTTGAATGAGTTTCAGTTGGTAGAGTTTAAGCATGTGGACAAGGTGTTTGGATTGGTCAGGGTGACCACTTGTACTCTAGACCCCTACACCTCTTGGCTGATAAAAACCAGCAGGGAGGGAACAGCTGGCTGGTCCTCTTTATGAGAGGGGGTGGTCCCTGCCTGTTTGAAGGAGGCAGTGGTAAAACCACTCCTTAAGAAACCTTCCCTGGATTTGGAAAACCTAACTGACTACCAGCCAGTTGCTAATCTCCCTTTTCAGAGCAACGTTCTGGAATGAGTGGTCACAGACCAGATCCAGGCATTTTGGATGAAACTGATTTTCTGGATCCATTTCAATCAAGGTTTAGGCCCCGTTTTGGCAAAGAAACTACTTTGGTTGCCCTGTTTGATGACCCCTGTTGAGAGAGAGAGAGAGACAAGGGAAACATATCCCTGTTAATTCTTATTGACCTCTCTGTGGCTTTTGATACCATTGACCATGTTATCTTTCTGAAGCGACTGTCCGAACTAGGAGTGGGTGGTACCTCTTTGCTGTGGTTCCAGTCCTACTTGGATGGTCGTTCCCAGAGGGTGTTGCTTGGGAAATGCTTTTCAGACCCATACAATGTGGGGTTCCACAGGGCTCAAGCCTATCCCCACATTATTTAACATCTACATAAAACCACTGTGGGGATATCTGGAGGTTTGGAGTTCACCTATTGCAAACTTGTTAATTCCAACAGACCTCTGATTGGAATTGTGCTGTAAGTAAATCAAACCTATGGCTGCTGAGTGGCAAACACCAGCAGAATTTCAAGTGGCAGGAAATTAGAAAGCCGGGCTGCCACCATCACAAAAGATAAGCGTCATTATCCAATTTAAAGATCCTGACAGATATTTCAGATTGTAGTATCTGCTATTTGTGGGTGAGGGGATAAACCATATTGTTGATTCTGTGCTCTGATACGCACACCCAAAATGCATGCAGATACAAAAAAATGCCCTTCATAGCAAAATGAAGAGATTTTATCACAGCAACTATGTGAGCAGAAATGAGCATAGTTATTGGTGAGATATTTCCTGTGGTTGAATGCTGATAATGAAGCATGTGCAACAAATGTCATATCAAGGAAAGTTGTTGAAAAACACAAACTCTTGCAGAAACTAAATATAGTAATAGCCACCCAGAGTGGCTGGGGAAACCCAGCCAGATAGGCGGGTTATAAATAATAAATTATTATTAAACTATTATTATTATTATTATTATTATTATTATTATTTTCAGTAAAGAAGGGGTCAGGAAACTTGTCAGGAAAATGTTTCACCTGTGGAAATACCTTTGCCTAAGGAAAAACCAACATCAGGACACGATCCTCTCAAATGGTCACCATTGCCATTCTAAGAGAATGAGGGAGGTGTTCATGATGTGTTCCAGCACCTCTTTTTCTAGAAAAATAGCACTGAGTATGGGCGACCCCCTGCTCACCCTCCTGCTCATGTAGACGCAGGTCAATTCTGTGTCGAGGGCAACTGTCTACCAGCCCTATCTGGCTGAGACCCTACCTGCCCACAGACTGTCTTGCCAGAGTGGTGCATCCTTTGGTTATCTTCCACTTGGACTATTGCAATGTGCTCTAGGTGGGGCTACCTTTGAAGGTGACTCAGAAACTACAACCCATCCAGAATGAAGCAAATAGATTAGCCACTGGGAGTGACCACCAGATAATGAGGGAAGTGTTCATGGTGTGTTCCAGCACCTCTTTTTCTAGAAAAATAGCACTGGGTATGGGGGAGCCCCTGCTCACCCTCCTGTTCATGGAGACGCAGGTCAATTCTGTCTTGCCAGAGTGGTGTATGCTTTGGATATCTCCCACTTGGACTACTGCAATGCGCTCTACGTGGGGCTACCTTTGAAGATGACTCATAAACTACAACCCATCCAGAATGAAGCAAATAGAT